AGAATAAGTTTAAATAAATTTACTCGTAAAATAAACAGATTCTTTTTCTAATATATATAATTTTTTAATAAAATTATGTATATATATATATATATATTTTTTTTTTAATATAAAATATCTTTTATATTTTAATACTTATATTTAAAGAGCTCAGGTTATTGTTTTTCCTAAAGTGTATACAATGTCAGAACTGGCCTGTACCATAAATTTTCCTATCAACAACAATCCAAAGGATGTTAACTAATCAGGAATATTCATTGTCCATATCAACAAAAATCCAAGGATATTAACTAATCAGGAATATTCATGTTCTGTTCATGTTCATGAAGATTATTATATGTACCATTTGATTGAATTCTTTAAGTGGTATAAAGGATTTATAACATCCTTTCGGGGGTTGAGAATCTCTCCAGTTTGAGGCTCGGATATGCAGAAATCATGAATTAAAAATGTTCATCAATTCATATTTGTTGATCTCGGAATCAATTACTTTACTTTACGTAGTCAAAATTTTAAATAATACTAAAAGCTATTTTAAGGCTCAAGCTAAAAATAATATCTTCAAAAATAAAGTTAAAGTAATATAGTTATTTTATGAATACTTTAGGCAAAGTGTTATTTTTAAATAATGAGAAGAAAAGGATGTTTGAAGTAGGGGTGGTGAAAATAATTTAATACATGATCTTATATTAGTTAGTTTACTTGTTATAGATATTTTATAAAAGTCTAAATTTGATTTATATAAAAGTCAGTCTTGACCTACAAACTTATTCAATAATTTATTTTTGTAATAATTTACGATTAATATAGAAGTAAAAATAAATATGTTCAATTTTATAAAATTAAATTTAACTTATTTATATAATACAAAATATTTTTAAAGTATAATATGACATTCATAATATATTTTTAACGTCTAATATAACTCAAAACATATTTTGTAATAAAATTTTTAAAATTCACATCTATAATCAAGCTCATAAGTTTCTACTTACTATATGATATGAGTCAACATATTTAATATTTATAAAGATAAATCAATATATAATTTTGATATAACTATAAAATTTTTGATATAATAATAATTTTTTGTAAAAAAGGTTGGTCTAGTAAATTTATTAGGCCTTTTAAATAATCTAAAATTTAGTTTTATTTTATTTTTGACTAGACTTTAACAAAAATCTTGACTTGAGCTATTTTCTTTAAATAAAAAAAAAAGTTTGACATGATGTAAACTTGGTCATAGATTCGACCTATCTTATTTCCACTCTTAGTTAGAAGTGTTTTTTTTTTTCAGAAAAAAATATGTATATTTAGAAAGTAAAGTTTCAGCATAGAGAAGTTCGTTTACTTGAAGACATTTCTCTTTTCTCTTCTTTAAAGAATTAATGACAATGTTTTACAAGAAAAAAATATATGTAAAAAAAGATAAATAATCAAATTATTTTATACACGTAAAAGTGATTGTCAGAATAAATAAAAAGACTCGTGCCTTTTTAATTTCTATAGCAAAGAAAAACATTACCTGTTGTCCGGTATACAATATTTTTTCTGTTTGGTAAGAATACAATTATTTTCTCAAGTTTTGGGCCAAAAACAACACTTAAGCCCATTAATCTTTTTACAAAGAATTTGAGCCGTAATTTTGTGAAATTTTTAAGCTCATGATATATATACTTTTTTTTTATAAGCATATCTCCCTTTTTTTAAAAAGAAATAATTAAATTTTACATTCCAATATTTAATTTAATATTTTTTTTTCACACACATCCTTTCTTCTTTTTTTTAGTTTTCACTTATACCTTATTTTTCCTTTACCTCCACCTAATTCGGTAGGTAGTTTTAATTCTTTGAGTTTTACACTCTTCTCCCCTCCTCTTTTAGTTTTTTCATTATTATCTTTTCTCTCCTTGCTTTTAGTTTTCACACACATCCAAAATGTAAAATTAGTTTTTGACAACATTATAAGTGCATGTGGTTTTCTTGACAGTGTCGAAAGTATTTAACTAAATGTGCATTTTTTTTCTTCAAGCACTTCTCCCATTTATACGTCATGAAAACACAACATAAAATAATTTTATTATTTTAGAAATTACTTTTTGAAATAATAAAATTAATGTTACCTGAATCATGTTTTGAAATTTAGTTTTTAACATACTTCCAAAAGGTATTTTCGGAAGATTAAATTTAATGTTCTGGAAAGTAATTTTTGGAATTATGTAAAACAAAATATATACTTTCTGGAACATTAATTTTATTATTTCGGAAAGTACTTTCCAGAAATGTGTTATTTTACATTCTTCTGAAAAATATTTTCCAGAACACTAAATTTACTATTTTGGAAAGCACAATATTTTACGGAACACTAAATTTACTATTCTAGAAAATACTTTTCAGAAGTATTTAAAAAAATACAATTTTAGAAAGTTTTATCTGGAAAACTAATTTCACTATCCCGCACAGTATTCCAGAATAGTGAAACTGTCTTTTTCATAATTCTAAACTTAATGTTAAGGTTTTTGGAGGGGTGAAAGAAGTGAAAGTGTTGGAAGAAAAATGTGTGTCTAGTTTGATAAAAATTGTTGAAGAAGCCGCACATACGTACAATGTTGTCACGTACCAGTTCTATGGTCTGGGTGCATGTGAAAATGTGAAAGAGGTAAGAGAAAAAGAGAATAATGTAAAAAATAAGAGAACTAAAATTACTAACTAAAATATGTGAAAAATTATAGGAAGATATGAGGGTCCCTATTAAAACTAAAAGAGAGAAGGAAGGAGGTGTATAAAAAAGAAGAAGAAAATAATAAATTAAAAATTGGAGGTGAAAAATTAAAAAATTAAAGAATAAAAAAGTTATGAATATTTTAATAATTTCTTTATAAAAAAAAGTGTATATATGATGAACCAATTTTTAATAGCATCCAACAGCCCCATATGGCACGGTTTAGGGGCCAACAATATTTACAAAAAGTCATAAGTTTTAGGTCATTTGGGGGGATTTTTCTTGAACATAATAACCACATATTCCGGCAGGTACAACCACCATAAAATAGCCACATATTTTTGGTTTTTGACAAAGAACATGAACTAACTAAGTTGTGTTTTTTTTTTTTGGTTCGTGCCTAGAGTATCCATCGCCGATAGTAGTCACTAATCTCCTCGCTATGTTGCATACACAAGGTAGGATTCGAACCCCTGACCTTACTTAAGCGTGGATCAATACCTACCGCTAAACTACACGCTTGGAGTTAACTAAGTTGTGTTTTGCAACAACATATAAAATATTATAAGCTGTTTTTCTTGTCTTATGGCTGCCTCGATGGTTATATATATATATAAGTATTCCTTACCATAACAAGTACAAATTCAAGGAGCAAAAGCGATTAAGAAAGTGAAGAGATTAAATTTTGGGTAAACTAAGCTGGATCCGTGCATATGCACAGTAAAGAAAAAAATCGAAACGGAAGAAAATAATATACATGAGTGTAATAATATTATATTATACAAGTATTAATATTAGTAGACACAAATTATAACAATTTATATTTCTTAATTTAATTATTTAAGATTCAAATCATGATTTTAAATATAAAATAAATAACGTTACATATTTTATATGTATTCACAGTCTCTGTATTGTTGGATTGTATAGTGACGGAACAGTTTTTATATTACTATAAATAATATAATCTCGCTTATGACATTTTTTGTGTGTATATTATATGAGTGATATTTTTTTTTGTTAAAAGGATATATACAAGGGGAAAGTAATAAATTGTATGTGTATATGAGGGATATGCCAATACTCCAATTCCATTTTTTTTAATTTATATTTGTATTTCGCATATGTATTATTTTCGGCATACTTACTCATATGTATTATGGATATGTATTATTTGTAGTTAGGTCAAGCAATTAACCAACAAAAATTAGAAGAAAATTTTTTTACAGTAGTAACACTCCACTTGCAAACTGAGACTCCATCACTGATATTCTTGGTGTTATTGAGTGCATTGTGTTAGCAAACCTAATAATGAAAAGGAGGAGAGGCCCAAAAGACACACAAATATTCCAAAAAAAGGCTCAACAATTATATATTCTAGATTGTTTGATTT